GAAACCAAAAGATCCAAACAAAGTGAGGATTTGTGTTGATATGAGGCAGGCGAATACAGCCATTGAAAGAAAACGCCATATCACACCCACGATCGATGATGTAATACACGAGTTGAATGGTTCAACTGTGTTCTCCAAGCTCGATCTCAGAGCAGGGTACCACCAACTAGAACTTCATCCAGACAGTCGGTACATAACCACGTTCACCACTCATCTTGGACTGAGACGATACAAGAGACTAAGTTTTGGTATATCCTCCGCAGCTGGAAGTGTTCCAAAATGCAATATATCAAACGCTCCAAGGACTGAAAGGAGTAAAAAATCTCAGTGATGATATCATTGTTTATGGCCCAAATCAAACTGAGCATGACAACAACCTCAGAGCTCTATTTAAAAGACTTACAGAGACTGGTCTCACACTGAATCGTGAGAAATGCGAATTCAACAAGACAAAACTTGAATTCTTTGGCTTCATTTTTTCTGCGGGTGGCGTGTCAGCAGACCCCAAAAAGGTCGCAGCCATTCAGCACGCTCCTGATCCGAAAACACCTGCAGACATCAAAAGTCTTCTGGGCATGGCAAATTACTGTTCCAGATTCATCAAAGACTTTTCCTCGATCTCAGAGCCTCTCCGTAAGCTTACAAGACAAGACACACAATGGACATGGGGACATGAACAAAAAGTGGCACTCCAAGCGCTTAAAGACAATCTCACGAGTGACACAACCTGTCATACTTCTACCCAGGCAGACAAACTGAACTGATAGTTGACGCTAGTCCTGTGGGACTGGGTGCAATCCTTTGTCAAAAAGATGAAAAGGGGATGAAGCATATTGTTGCATACGCAAGTCGTTCGCTCAGTGATGTGGAGACGAGATATTCTCAAACAGAAAAAGAAGCTCTTGCCATTGTATGGAGCTGTGAACACTTTCACCTTTACATTTATGGACATCCATTCATACTTGTAACTGATCACAAAGCACTGGAGATCATATGGAATAACCCAAGATCAAAACCACCAGCCAGGATAGAAAGATGGGGACTCAGACTCCAACCATACAACTTCAGAGTAGAATACAGAAAAGGTGCGGACAATCCTGCTGATTTCATGTCCCGACATCCGCTACCGTCACACAATAGTGAAAGCACAAGAGCAAGTAAAGTTGCAGAAGAATATGTGAACTTCTTCTCGTTTCACTCCACACCAAAGGCCATGACACTACTAGAGATAAAAACTGAGACTCTGAAAAATTCTCTTCTGCAGGAAGTGATCTGTTGCATCAGAAACAACACATGGCATCTAACTGAAAAGTCACACAATTCTGAAACACTGACGAAATTTAAACATGTCTGTAGTGAACTGACAGTAACCCAAGATTCAGACATCCTTCTCAGAGACACAAGAATCGTCATTCCTACTACTTTACAAGACAGAGCCATTCAGCTTGCCCATGAAGGACATCAGGGCATTGTGAAAACAAAATCACTGCTACGAACCAAAGTGTGGTTCCCAGACATTGATCGAAAAGTGGAAGCCATAGTTCACAATTGTCTGGCATGTCAATCAAACACACCGATCACACAAAACGAGCCACTAAGAATGTCACCTTTACCAGAAGCACCATGGCACAACGTGAGCGCAGATTTCTATGGACCTCTTCCCACAGGAGAGTATCTTCTCGTCATAACTGATGATTACTCTCGCTATCCTATTGTTGAAACTGTGAGGTCAACGTCAGCTGGTACTGTCATCCCAGTCATGGATAAGGTGTTCTCTGTCTTTGGAATACCCAGAGTTGTAAAAACTGACAATGGTCCGCCATTCAATAGTGATGCATTCTCACAATTTGCAGACTATCTTGGTTTTCATCTTCGGAAGATAACACCTCTTTGGCCTCAAGCTAATGCCACAGTTGAAAGATTCATGAGAACACTAGGCAAAGCTCTGCGTGTAGCTGAAACAAAAGGTGTTCCCTGGAAACAGCAACTAAACATCTTTCTGCGTGAATACCGATCAACGCCCCACAGCACGACAGCAAGTTCACCATATGAGGTACTGTTTCAACGCAAAATGTATACAAAAATCCCTTCCATCAGTATCACCGCAAAACAAAGTTCAGATGCTAATGTGAGAACAAGAGACAATAAGGCAAAATCAAAAATGAAGGACAATGCAGATTTAAAGCGCCATGCCACGCCACATTCACTCACTCTTGGTGACACTGTGCTCCACTGTCAACCAAAGCATAACAAACTGTCACCACCGTACAACACCAAACCCTACAAAGTGACCAAAGTGAATGGATCTGCAGTTACTGCAACACGCGACGGACACTCCATTGTCAGGAATGCTTCTTTCTTCAAGAAAATCACACCTGACATCAAAAACGTCATCATCAATCCAAAAGATAGTCCTGTCACATGTGTCGAACCCAGGTATCCCTCCAGGAATAACAGACGCTTACCTGCTCACTTACAGGATTACATTGGACCCAAAGACTAGCATCTATTCGGAGTGCAAAGTTTAGATTGGTCGTTATAAGCTACAGTAAATGTTTTGTTTGATTGTCAAAAGCACTTTTTTGTTACATGCTGTGTAGACCAATGTTGAATTACCTTTTCATGACCTGTGTGTTAAATTTTGCAGGGTACGTTTGGATATAGCACAATGGTGTTGATGTTGCAGTTCGTAAACTGTACAATGTTTACAGTGTCTTTATACTTAAAAAAAAAAAAAAAGAGCAAATGTGATGTTTTACACAAGTGTTTTTACTTTGAAAGCCTCAGTGCATTGGACCGGAACCGGATGTACTTGATACAGGACAGTGATATTGCGGCCTCTAAAAGACCGGATAATAAATAAGCTCTCCACAATGCATATCGTCTTTTCTGCATCGAGTTAACTTACAAACATTACAGAGGATTCTGTGGATTTTAGTGTTTAGTGTTCTTTGTCGTCCTGAATATTTTCGGTTTTCTTTAAACCCACACTTTACTGCCACAAACCCTGCTCCTTTCCTTCCCGCTCTGATCAGCAGCTCTGATTGGTCAGAGCGTGACCGAGCCCCTCTGTGCACGTGCATGAGAACCACACACACGTATTTGCTACAAAGCATCATGGGAGATCGTCCTCTAATCTTTTGGTCCTCGTGTATGTCCCGTGCGACACTGAGCACCAGCTACTGATTTGAAAAGGGCGCCATCTTGGATTGCCGGGGCTTGGTGTGGTTTGTGTGTGAATGGTGGTGGTGGGAGGGGCCAAAACACTGTATGAAATGGCTGCAGTATCGGTGTTAATGTTGATGAAATAATGAGAGGTTCTGATGATTGCGGGTCACATCTTTGCTAATGTAAAGTGACACTGTTGGCGTGAGCGTGCGGCCCCTGCTGCTCCCTGCTGCTCCCTGCTGCTCCCTGCTGCCCCCTGCTGCTCTGGCAGACGGCCTGGTGGTTGGAGGCTCCACGCTCAGGCTCCAGCCCAGAGCCCGGTGCTGTGTCTCTGGCTGCAGCAGAGAGAGGCTCAGGGTGAATCACCTTTAATCTCTGCTAATGAACTGCCACCGTCCACACACGGAGAACACACAAACACACAGAGAAAGAGAGAGAGACAGACAGAGAGAGAGAGAGATGGAGAGAGAGAGAGAGAGAGACACAGACAGAGAGAGAGAGAGACGGAGAGAGAGAGAGAGAGAGACCACTCTTCACAGAGAGAACACACAAACACAGACGGCCAGAAGTTTCTATGGAAGATGTGGATTTAAAGCTGTGGTACCTAACTTTCAAACCATAAAACATGTATCTCTCTCTCTCTGCATTTGCATATGGGCATAGGGAGCCCCCTGCTGGAGAAGTATGGTAACTTGAGCACTATCCTCTCCTCCTTCCTACTTTACCTGTTTAGCATTATTAGGATTTTGACTGTAGTTTGTTCATTGCTATTCACCCGTTGTCCCATTGTCTGTTTCATGGTACGATGACGGGATCTCTGAGCCTGGCCTCCTCCATCTACACCTGCGGACTGCCCCGCCTGACCCGCCTGGGAGTGCTTCAGTCCTGCACCGGACCTGTCCACGTTCAGCGGCCACTGGTCCACGTCCTGTAGCTAGCTTAGGTCCTGGATCATTAGCTTCAGTCCTCGTTCTACAGTCTGAGTCCTGGATCTATTGCTTGTCCGTCCCTGGGTCTCCCCGAGGTTTTGCACTTTTTCCCACTGGGTTTTCTCATGAGTTTTTCCTTGCCGATGCAGGAGGGTCTGTTGGGCAGTTAGTGTCCAACCAGAAGGACTGTGATGATCCAGACACTTTAACATTCTACATGTATGACATTTATCAACATGTGTTCTCTGATCTGTGTTGGTGACGTCTCTGAAATGATGCTGTTGTGATTTAGGGCGATACAAGAATAAATTGTATTGTATTGTATTCTTCCACTTCATCCGTTGCCGGGTCGCGGGGGCAGCAGTCTGAGCCGAGACGAGTGAGGACAGTTCTCGTTGTTTCCCTTTTCTGTGACAGAGACAGAACCTTTAAATAAACATGTGAAAACTGGAGACAGAATCCAACCGTTTTCAGAGCGAGGAACATGTTAAATGGATTTTCTTGTTGTACTTTGAAAATTAGGTCCCCCAGCTTTAAAAGTGCACCCAATCTTGACCATACCCCACACAATTATCTAAAAATATTCATAAATAATCTCACCGTCTTTGATCCGCGACGGTGACTTTCTCAGACGTGATTTTTCTCTCTCTCCATAAAATCCGTTTCATCACTTCCTCAAACCTCAGACTCAGAACCGTTTCTTCATATCTGCTTCCAGCGCAGTATTTACAGCCGCTGCTTCGACCCCTGGGCTGATGAGTCTGAAGGAGCCCGCCAGGTCCAGAGACTCATTGGGCTTCGATCGGGCCCCGACAGACGGATGGGGCCTCGTGGAAGACATTAGCCCGAGTCGTAAACAACCGAGCGCCCGACTGGACTCCTTTAACACAGCGACCGCAGGCG